TTCTTTCCTTCTTTCCTTCCTTCCTTTCTGTAGCCTCCTGGCTATATGCAGTGAATGTTCTTGGTTTGTTCGTTCATTCTCTCTCTCTTTCTCTCTCTCCTTCCTTCCTTCCTTCCTTCCTTCCTTCCTTCCTTCCTTCCTTCCTTCCTTCTTCTTTCTCTATCTATTTATTTGTAGTATTGAAGAGCAAGCCTAGCAGTGTTCTACCACAGAGCTATACAGTCTCAGCATTTTAAAATTAAAAAAATTTTTGAGACAAGATTTCATGAAGTTGCCATAGGATGACCTAACATTTATGATTTTATATTCTCAACCTCTAGAGTAGTTGGGATGATACGCTTATTCCATCACATCCAATTTATCTTTAATTTTTAAAGTCGTAGGCTATTTTACCAGAGACATCGTGAATAATTTTCCCTTCCTGGGGTCGAAAGAGTTCTAGCAGAGAAGAGAGTTGGTGGCCGAGGTTCGGGATCACTCACTCAGGTGGCTCTCTCAAGACCGGGCATCCTGGCAACCGGCAGTCCCTCGGGTACCCTTGAGAGGTGATGCAGACCTTTGTGGAGGCCCTTCCAGCATGGCGTTTGTTCTGAGTGAGTCCTTAATTTGAACTAGGGTGTTTCTTTTTATTGTAGGCCAGGAAAAGAGAGTGCTGTTAGGAGTTATAAAATATTTAACACTCTTTGAAAAATTAAACTGCCCAGGAGTCATTGATTGGTGGCTATGGCAACGTGCATGGTTTTTGGGGGAGTCTTTTTGGGGCTTCTGGGCCCCTCAGAAAGGACAGGGTGGAGATGTCATCTGGGGAGGGCCCCTGGGGACCTGGGAGCCGTGTGCACCTGTGCCTGCCTTGGTTTGGGTGGGGCAGCAGCAGGCCATCCTTCAGAGGCTTGCCGTGCTGTGTGGTCTGTTGTGGCGAACAGGAGGAAGGGAAAGAAGAGGCCGCTGGCCTTTTCGGGCTTCTCTGTTCTATTGGCCTTGTGACTTGCCCTTGTGCGTCCAGCCTCCGTCGGCCGAGTCAGCGCAGGCTGCTTGGCCCCGAGCTCTTCCTGCTTTCACTTTCCCCTGGGCCCCCAGAGCTCCCCGAAAGCACCAGCACCGGTGCTTGGGCGACTCTGGCGCTGCAGACGGGCGCCTTCTGCGAGGGCCTTCGCGCTCCAGCGGCTCTGGACAGAACGTCCTCACAGCGCTCGTCCCAGCCGCTTTGTTGTGCCTGTTTGTTTGTCCACCCTGCACCGTGCCGGTCCACAGCGAGCAGCCAGGCCGGCTGTGCTCACTGTCGCACCCTGGCAAGCGCCTGGCTCGTCTGCTGAAGAAATTAGTTCGCTTATTAAGCTGTTATGTTTTCATTCTGTACGTGATTCTAGGACTAGAAAGGGAATTAAACAAAAAAACACCCTGCTTTCCTCACAGAGCTCTTGAGATACGCACTGAAGTACGGAAAGAAAACAGTCCCTGTTGAAGTTTTATTTATTCTCTAAAAGGGAGATATGGCTTTCCTATTTTTAGTAGTATGGTTTTATAATTAACTTGAAAGTTAATGTACTCGAAGCTGCTTCACTAACGGGAAGGTGTAATGAAAACATTTGATGACCACCGCCCGGAGAGGTGGGCAGATGGAAGGGTTTGTGTGGCAAAGGGTGACAAGCGCTGTGTTCCCCAGGGTGGCGCAGGGAGTGCAAGAGGGGCTGGCCCCGGGCCAGAGGAAGGTGTTCCCGATGCAGGAGAGGGGGAGGGCAGGGGCCACGGCAGGATGGCCCGAGCTCTGCGCTCTGCCAAGGGCAATCTCGAACAAGGCTGGAGTACAAGCGGCGGAAGTGCTGCGAGGTACCCGCTGCAGACGGGAGGGGACTGAGAACGGGGCGCCAGGTAGTGAGGCCGGTAGGACGGGCGGCCTGGGAGGGAAGACGAGGATTTGTGCACGGGCCTGCGGAGAGACGCAGCGCAGAGAATGTTTGACATTCAGAGGAGGGTGGATATTTAGGTGGAGGGATCAAGCATGTCACGGTTTAAAATTCTAACGTGTCTAGCTTCATTGCAGAAGAAGTAGGGGCGATTCTTCCCAGGGTCTTCTTCAGACGGCTTCATGAAGTTTTTCTTGATCTGCCCCTACCTAGTGGGATTTTTATCTTAACGTAATTTAGACTCATTCCTAGTGTGTGCATGAGGAAGAAAATGCCGCATACATATTTATTGTGTTAGCAGTATAATCATGCACACTCCTTTTTCTTTTCTTTTCTTTTCTTTTCTTTTCTTTTCTTTTCTTTTCTTTTCTTTTCTTTTCTTTTCTTTCTCTCAGTCCCAGGGTTTGAGTAATTATGTAATTAGAATCCACATGCAGTGTGGGTAGATAAGGTGTAATTAAAGAGGAAAGCCTAATTTTGGAAGAATGATAAGAAGTCATTTGATTCAGGCTGGGCCCAAATCCAATCTTGGAAGAACAGTAAGAGGTCATTTGGATGCAGCGAGCCTGCGGCCACCCAGGAGCCCAGACTGGCCAGAGAGGCAGGTAGATCCTGTTGCACTTCGCTGTGAAGGCCTTTCACTGAGCATCCTACTGGTACCAGGTATTATGGGAGGCTCAGTCCTGAATAAGGAACAGAAGCCCTGAATCTCAGAAGGAATGTGGGGTTGGGACATAGGCTTGAGAACAGCTAGGAGGTTCTAAGGCAGCGGGATGAAGACTTTGAGGGGTGAGCTGGAGTCAGGAGGGGTTGGGGAACAATTCACAGGGCAGGTGGTGTTTAATCTGTACCTTGAAAGGTGAGGAAGGTTTAAAGAACAAGGATAAGAAGTTTCTGGGCACATCAGAGGCATTCATTTAGTATTTGTGGACTAAGTGCCAAGCTGAGGTGGGAGGTGGAAGGAACATGGTGGTGTTCGTGGGTTCTTGGTTTGTGGTTTGGTGAAGGGTTACACTCATACAGCTCGGGTACCACAGTGACATGGGAGGCCAGGGGCCCAGGAGGATTAGGCTCCTGGCTGTATAGCAGTGACGGTGTGTAGAGGAGTCAGAGATCACTGTGGCGCACGTAGGTCAGAGGAGGCTTCCTTGTGACGGGCTCTCAGACCGTCTTGAAGGAAGAATAGGAGAAGGGAATGGGAGAAAAAATCTGAAGGAAGGTGTGGTGGGTTGGTTCTAAAATGTCCCCTGAGGTCTTGCGTTCAGAAGAGGGCCTGGTTGGAGGGGGAGGCCCACTGGGGATGTGGCTGGGAAGGGTGCATTCTTGTTTCCCGTTCTTTTCTCTCTGTGTTTCATGGCCCTCATGTGTGAGAAGGCCATGTGTCCTCTGCCATGTGTCCTCTGCCATGTTGTTGTGCCGTGTGGTCTCTGCATTGGAACCAGTTAGCCATGGATGGAGTCCCCTGAATCTGTGAGCCAAGCTAAACTTTTCTTCCTTTATGTTCCTGGTGTTGAGTGTTTTGTCCCAGTGACAGGAAAGTGATAAGATGGAGGGAAGTGATGTAGACAAAGACCTAGGAAGGGGACATAGGGACCATCAGGTGTGAAGGAGCATGGTGGGGCCTGCTTGTCTGTGATTGGTGACGCTGATTGTGGCAGTCAGGTGTGTTAGGCAGAGAGGCTTGGGGGGAGAAAGAGCAGCCTTGGAAGAGGAAGTGGGCCTTGGTAGGTAGGAGGGGCTTCTGAGAAGCTGAGCCCCAGCTGCTGGGCAAGTGGTGATGGGGACCAGGCAGTGGGCCTCGAGGGTGGCTTGACTGGAATCCTCTATCACTGAAGAGTTACTGATCTTGCTTTTGGCAGGATGACAGAAATTAGGCAAACAAAGAGGTAGAGGTGACTACTAGGTCACAGCCTGGGACAATGGCATTATCTAAGACCAACTGGTAGGAAAAAAAGATGTGAGTAGGGTCTTGGTATGTGAAGTACACAAAAAGCCCTCCTAGCTCCAGCCTTCTCTTTAAACCACTGGAGAGACTGTGATCTGACTCCTTCTCTTGAACTTCATTTTCCTGTCAGTGGGAGGGGCTGCCTTCATGGTCCAAGCTCATTGCGGACGTGTAGGGTCGTCACACTCCCATGATTAGGCGAAGAGAAGGGACTAGGCTGCAGATATGTGAGCTTCCCATAAGAAGGTTTGAGAAGAAACCTTTTCTTTATCTTTCTGGTATGGGTAGAATCCTGGGGGTGGGGGGAGTTAGTCTGACCAGGCTGGACTAGGATTTTTATTTGGCGAGGGGTGTGAAAGAAGCTGTCCTGAAGTACTGTACTCATTTCAGGGTGGTTTTATGACTCTTTGGCATAATGGTTGGATAAAATCTGAGCTTATTCTGTTGTTGAGGTAATTGTTCTATTTTGGAGTGGGACAAAGGAAGGGACTAATCTTCCTGAATCCAGAGAAAGGATATTCTTAGGATAGGGAACTAGTAAGCCCCATCCCCTCCCTCAAAGCTAAAATTTGGGAAACTTTCAGCCTTAGAACTTTAAGAAGTCTGTACAGGGAAGGCTTCCTGGCATAGGACGACTTGGGCAGACCTTTTTGTTTTGTTTTTTGTTTTTGAGGCAGGGTCTCACTATATAGTTCAGTGTTCTTGAACTCTGCTTTTAGCCTTCCAGGTGCTGGGATTGTAGGCATGAGCCACCTTTCCCAGCTTATGGGCAGATCCTTGAAGGAAAACTGTACAAGGAAAAGGACAAAAGGGAGGATTTGCTAGGGGAGAGACTGACGTGGAGCTGTAGTACAGAATTTATAGTCAAGATTCTAGGAAGGAAGGCACGCTTAGTGTGTACACCAGCTTTGCACAGGTGCTTTCCTGACGTCCATTTCATACTTTTTCATCACTTCTGTCTGTTATGATCTGATGTGGCAAATAAGGCCACGTGATTTGGAGGGATGAACTTGTTCGGCCAAGGTCTCCGTGGTGGTAGGGGATTTCATTTTATTCAGATCTGACTCCAGTAGCAATAAATATCCATGTCATTGTATTCTGCTGACTCTCTGGGAAATGTAGAGAACAAAAGAAAATGATTTGTGTGTGTGATGCCTGTTCCTAAGCTAAACCCTTGCCTGAAACGTGGACCAGCTGCCATGCGTGCTGCAGCATTCCTGTACACAGTGCAAAATCTAGAAAGTGCTGATGGAAGCTCTCCGAGCTCTTCAGAATCTACAGCCCTCATTTATAGGTTAGGAAATCGAGTCTCAGAAAGGATGTGCCATGGTTGGGGCAGAAAGGAAATGGGAGCTGGAAGAGTCGGAGGCTGGGCCTCGCGGCTATTTTAAAGCTCCCTGTGGAAAAGTCTGTTAGACCACAATGGAAAGCATTGTCTGAAGAGCTGATCTGAGCAGAGTTGAATCTGAAAGGTTGTGTGTGTGTGTGTGTGTGTGTGTGTGTGTGTTTCCTTCACTTTAACCTCAGATGCCTTTGAACCAGCAGGAGGGATTCTTTAAACCCAAAGGTTAAGACCAAGGGCTTTTAGCAGGTGCGCAGGGCCTAGTAGGGATGGGGAATATCAGAAGGCACAGAAATGGAAGACTGCTCGCTAGCCGTGGCCAAAAGGACTTTTCCAAGCTTGTAAATAATCATTAACATTATCGAGCACGCTTCACACCAGGCAGTCTTTGTGTCATTTTCTGTAACGGCATGACTATCCCCACGAGGTAGGTGCTGCTTTACTGTGCCTATTTTGAAGATGAAGAAATGCATCAAAGAGACCATGGCCTACCTAAGTTACAGAGTGAGTAAGACGCAGAGCCAGGACTCTAACCTCAGTGTGTCAGTTATTTTTTCCATTACTGTAATAAAAATGCTTGAGACAATCAACTTCTGGGGTGGAAAGGTTTATTTTGGCTCCACAGTGTCAGCAGCCCACGGTTTCTTGGCCCCGTTGCCTTTTGGTCAACAGTGAGCAAGTGCATAATGGGAGAAGGACATGGTGAAGGAAATGGCTCACTTCATAGCTGCCAAGAAGCAGAAATGAGAACAGATAAGAAGTGGTTGCGGTCTTAATATCCTCCTCATGGGCGTACCCCCAGTCACCTCCATTGGCTCCACCACCTGGCAGTAGCATCTGTAGGCTGGGGAGAAAGTCTTCACATAAGAACCTTTGGGGGACATTCAAGATATTAAAAAATTAACACAGGTTTTGTATAATTCAAATCCTTTAACCTCTGAGCTATTTTGTTGGACTGTGTTCCAGGCATCTGACCATGTGGGGATGCCTGGAATAGCACATTTACAAAGGTTATCATTTGGCAGTGTTTTCCAGTGAGGGAAAATTTCACCACTAGGGAACATTTGGCAATGTTTAGTGGTATTTTTGTTTGTCACAATTGAAAAGATACTGTCGGAATCCAGTGTACAGAAGCCAAGCATGCTCCTGAGCAGTTTACAGTACATAAGACAGCCCCCCACTACAGCGAGTTACCCCACGCAAAATGTTGAGTGCCAGTGTTAGTATCTGGTTGGAGATCTGGTTGTGTTTCTGCCATGCAGAGCACAGGGTGCCTTGAAGAACTTGGAGTTGTTTCTGGAGCTCCAGGGCCTTCTGTTGTACCTTTCATGGGTCTTTGCAATTTGAGTTCCTCCCTGACTGAGCCATGAGGTCCTGGGGGGCATGTAGGTGGTCGTAGTGGGTTGAAGGCGTGAAGGTCGGGGTGGGCCAGGGCTACACATGAGCTACAAGAAGGGAGAGGTAGTAGGGTCTGGTCCATGCTGGCGAGAAGTAATTGAAGACTTTACTGTGTTCATGCTAACTGCGCTTGTTGTCCACGTGATTGAATTAGCGCTGTGACTGGCCATCGTCAGAAATGAGACCCTCAGGTGCAAGTGTGCAGCTTGCCGCGTTTGTCTGTTCCCAGTCACATTATGGGTGTGGGTGCTGTCTGCCCCAGTAGAACTGCTTCATCTGCTTTTGGAAGAGCCGCACACAGGGCCAGGGGAGCCCAGGTTGCTTGGTGTTTGCTTAGGCTTCTCTGAGCTGCTTTCTCCGAGCACCACCGTGGCCCAGTAGACTAATTTGAGCAGGCCTGCTCCTGAGCTGCTGCTCCTGAGTGGAGTGTGAGCTGCCCGGTCTTCCTCTTCTAGGTTAGACCTGGGAGAGGTGCTCCTGAGTCCCATCTCGAGGGCATTCGCTCTGTGGTCCTCGTGTTGAGCTAGCCCTCCCTTGCCAGGTTTCTGCTCAGTCCCATGTACGCAGGGGCCAGGTAGGGGCCTGAAGCCTGCTAGCCACTCTACTCCCGCCCCCAGGCCTCCCTAGAAAGCTTGTTGAGCAGTTCAGCTGAAGTCACACCTCTCTCCTCTAGCTCCCTCCTATCCTGGGGCTGCTGTGCCGGTCACCCTCTGATCTCGCCAGTGGCTCAGATGCTGACTAGCCGTGTGGCCTTGGAGCAGTCACTGAACGTCAAGAGAAGCAGCGTGGCCTTGATCAGGGGACTTCAGTTCCCTTTGTGCATCACAGCCAGCTAGGAGCCATAATCAGGGTACCTGGGGGTGTTTCTCTAAGGCCTGTAGAATTGGGGTTCTCCTTTGCCTCAGAAAAGGTTGTTGGAAAACTCTAGACTAAATAAGAAAGGTTTTTTAACATTCTCCTCCCTCCCTTTTTCCTTCC